CTACAATTAGAATATTGTGATCTCCATAATTGCTGACGTTTGTAGCTTAAAAACTCAAATTTGTATCTTCACACTTAATAAATGTCATCAATGAAAATCCAACTAATCTGCTGTTCTATCAGTAATTATCATTTTGCTCACACTACAATCAACTACAATCAATTCCAGTTCTACTTCACTAGCTCTTCTCTATTCAATATCAAAATAAACTTATTTATTTGGAAAAATGAAACATTTAGCACCAATAACAACATGCTACAATTAGAATATTGTGATCTCCATAATTGCTAACATTTGTAGCTTAAGAACTCAAATTTGTATCTTCACATTTAAATAATGTCATCAATGAAATTCCAACCAATCTGCTGTTCTACCAGAAATTATCATTTTGCTCACACTACAATCAACTACAATCAATTCCGCTTCTATTTCACTAGCTCTTCTCAATTTATTATCAAAATAAATTTATTTATTTGGAGAAATAAAACATTTAGCATCAATAACAATATGCTACAATTAGAATATTGTGATCTCCATAATTGCTTACGATTATAGCTCAAAAATAATAGTTAAAAAAAACTAAAAAACACGCTTCTGTAGAGAACCTAACTATGAAATAGAAAATAAAATTTAATAAATTTAAATTCAAAATAGTGTAAGAAATTTTAATAAATATAATATTATAAAAATAAAAAAAAACGTGGGGTGCGTGGTGTCAATAATAGCTATAAATATTTTATTGTCAGATATGAGTAGAAGGATTATGATTTCGATAATATCTTAAAAAGTACCCCACGCTTTTTTTTTTTTTTTTCTTCAATAAAATACATTTTTTTTCTCATTTACACTATTATTAATATCTATTTATTAAAATTTTTTACACTATTCTTAATGCAAATTAATTAAAATTTATTTTCTATTTTTTAGTTAGATTATTTACAAAAGCGTGGTTTTTTTAAACTATTATTTTGTTTAGATCAAAATTAATCTTCAACTCAATCACCATTCATTACAATAGCGATCAAGGCTTTTTCCTCAAAAATTATCAATTTAAAATCTTTCTTATTTTGTTAAATTAAAATTTTCCTTGGTAGTCGACAATTTGTTAGAAGCCGGTTAAAATCAAGTTCAAAAAAGTTGGTTACAAACATACCGGTGAAGCTAATAAAAAGCGTGTAAGGACTCAAATTTGTGTCTTCACACTTAATTAATGTTGTTAATGATATTTCAACCAATCCCCTGCTCCACCAAAAATTATCATTCTGCTCACACTATAATCAACTACAATCAATTCCGCTTCTATTTCACTAGCTCTTCTCAATTTATTATCAAAATAAATTTATTTATTTGGAGAAATAAAACATTTAGCATCAATAACAATATGCTACAATTAGAATATTGTGATCTCCATAATTGCTAACATTTGTAGCTTAAGAACTCAAATTTGTATCTTCACATTTAAATAATGTCATCAATGAAATTCCAACCAATCTGCTGTTCTACCAGAAATTATCATTTTGCTCACACTACAATCAACTACAATCAATTCCACTTTTACTTTACTAACTCTTCTCCATTTATTGTGAAAATAAATTTATTCATTCGGAAAAATAAAACATTTAGCATCAATAACAACTTGCTACTATTAAAGTATTGTGATCACTATAATTGTTGACGTTTGTAGCTTAAAAACTCAAATTTGTATCTTCACACTTAATAAATGTCATCAATGAAAATCCAACTAATCTGCTGTTCTATCAGTAATTATCATTTTGCTCACACTACAATATACTAACTACAATTGATTGTTTTTACTCTACACTTTGAAGGTCTCTATCAAAATTTAAAATTAAATTATCGTGCAGCTAGAATCTTACAATGCCGTTGGTTTTGAAAGATCTTTCTATCTGACAAAGTATGTGGCTCCATAACCAAAGATTCATCGAAGCAGGCCATAAATTACATATATTTTAAGTTCAACAATTGAGGAAATCAAACTTAATTTTAATTCAAGCGTTATTTATCAGTTATATTTATTATTTCTTACAATGCATTGTACAAAACATGTTTTAAACAAAATTATCAATTACATTGTCCACATTTAAATTTTATTAATATTTTTATAAGCTTGCATCGTTTAGCTACATCGATTACATGTATTTTATAGCAAATTATCTTTAAGTATAAAATAGAACTATCGAAAAATAAAAAATTAATTTTTAACTTATATAAAAATTAATTAAAATTTTCTGGTAGGAATCAAGTTTTTAACTTTTTAACAAAAAATAGCAAATGAATTTTTCTAAGTTTAGTTAATTCTTTCCGTGCCACTCTTCGAGGTTTAGATTTCTTACTAATTCCATCATGTAATTCCCATGATCCGTGTGATTTTCTCACATATGGACGATAATGAGCTGTAGGTATAATTGAAACATACTCTATTGCACCTGTTAATGTGAATTGGTTTCCAAGAACATTTATAGTGACAGGAATTTCGCTTAAAGTGAATTCTCTACAATTCTCTTTAGTGTTTTTATTTTCACTAATTATATGCTGTAAAGCTTCGATGTCAATGACTAAGTGCTGTCCTAACTCAACTGTCACAGAGTTTCTCCTCTGACATGAGCCGCAACAACGTTTGTATGCTTTTAAATACAGATTGATCGACTCTTCTAATCGTTTAAGACCACCTTCATACATAGGTTTCAGATTTGGAGACAAAATTGAAAATGGATAACGTTCTTCTTGATTACAATTACTGCAAATCATAACAAGAGTAGCTGAAGGTACGTCTCTGAGTACAATCTCTGCTACGTTGCCGATATTCAAATTGCAGTCAATCAATCCATTTACAGGGCTTGTAACCGTAAGTATACATTCAAGCCTTGCCTCGTAAACTCCTGTTTGATCCTTAGATGTATTTGCAGATGACATAAGCTTGACTACATTAAAAATTTTACTATTCGTGTTTTCCACATATTCATGGTAATGAGACCAATCCATGTATGTACTTCGTAAACAATGAACTATCGAAT